CCTTGGTCTCCTGGTGGTTCTTGTTCTCGATGCCGTAGATCTCCTGCAGCAGGTAGCTGACGCGGTCCACCTGCAGGCGGGGGCATCTGGGCACTTGCACATCCTGCAGGCCGCCCTCCTCGGCGCCCCAGTCTGGAGGGCAGGCGCGGGGCTCTGCCTGGCCCACCTGGCCCCCAGGGCGGCAGCAGGCCCTGCCAGCCCAGTGGCCGCCATGCGATGGGAGGGCCCACGCGCCCGGGGCCAGCACCCACTCTTTGCTTGGCATGGGAAATGCCGCCCGTCAGCGCCCCCCCACACTCAGGCGGGCGGGAGCCGCCCCGCCCACAGCACCCGACTGGCCTGAGATTGGCCTGGCGCCGGCCTTTGGCTCGGCCCAGCCCCGCCCCACCCTTCCTCACACGCCCAGGAGGCAGCCGGCAGCCCCCCACCGGCAGGCCTCCCGCTAACTGGAGCCGCGAGCCCACCCGAGCCCACCCTGACGAGAGCGGGCAGGGAGACCGCCCTGTGCGGGCCACAGCCGCGCCACGCCGAGCCTGCCCGACCCCGCGGCCTGAGCGAGCGGGAGGCGACAGGACGCTAGGTGGGTTCCGCCTGCTCCCGCGTCCCCCGCCCGGGGGCGTGTCCGTGGTGCTCCCCGGGATCCAGGTCGTGGGCCCAGTGGGCGGGGCCCCGGCGCGAGCCGTAGCAGCTGCACTAGGGGTTGGGGAGCGCACGCACGGCACCCCGATCCCGGGCCCTGACTTCCCGGAGCCCCTGGCGATGAGAGCCGGGGCCCCGGGCACGCTGCCAGGGGAGCGCTCGCGGGCAACCGGGTCTCTAGTGCGCCTCTTAAAGCAAAAGGGGTCACGGCACCCCGACAGACTTACGATCTGCTTCTGCTTGAGGGGCTTCACGGAGAAGCTGCCGTCAATGTGCTGTGGGCGAAACACAGGTTTAACGCGGCTGGCGGGGGCGCCGGGCCGGCCAACCAGCTGCGCTGAAGGCGGCGCGCCGGGCGGGCACCCTGAAGACCGAAGCGCTGGCCGGGCTCCCACAAGTGTGGCCTTGACCCAACTCGAAACTCCCCGGGAACCGCCAGGGGCCCAGCGGCCCAGGCAGCGCCAGCGGGCTCAAGCTCCACGCTCCGAAGACGGGCAAGGGGCCTCGCCGACGGCCAGCTCCAGCCCCGGGGGGAGGGACGCCAGGACGCCGTGACGGACCCGGGAAGGCTCACACTGGGGCTCTGTCAGGCCCGCACCGCTCAGGACAGCAGAGGGCCCAGAACAGACGGGTGCCACCACCGTCAGTCGCCTAGACCAGCACTCGGCACCTTCTGGAGAGGCTGATGAATCCCAGCAGAAAGTTTTAGGATGGTGGACCCCAAAATAAAGCAGCTTCTCCATGGACTCTAAGCAGGAAGCGCAGGCCATCCACGAGGTGACCACGGTCTCTCCGACATGCAGAGGACACACACAGAGGCCAGCGGTGCCGGAGAGGGCACAGCCTGACCGCCTCAGGCACTCAGGGTCATCGGGGATCAAGGAAGAAGGACGAAAGGCCAGGCCTGCACGAAAGGCCACCGGGGTGGGGACGGGGCCGGAAGCCACGTCGGCTGGACGCCGGGAAGGGCCAGTCCCTGTCAGCTGGGCCAACACTTGCGCTGGGCCTGGGCCACGGCGGGGCCAGAGCAGGAGAAGCAGGAGCCTGCCCACAGCCAGCTCTGGCCTGCCGAGGGACAGCACCCCAAGGGTCCGTCCAGCTCACGGGAACAGCAAGTGGACTGTCCGCAGAACGCGCGATGCCCAACGCGGGACGGCAGTCAGGCTGACCCCTCAGCACCAGACGTGACGCCGGGGCAGGGACGGGGGACAGCCGGGCGAGACGCGCCTGCAGCCGGCAGGCCGTCCACTGCAAGGCCCACCGGGGCACCCGGCACGCGGCCGGGGGTGCCGGAGCCTCTGCCCCCGCACTCGGGGCCCTCGCCCACCCCTCGGACAGCACTGCACGCCGAGCACCCAGGAGCAGCCGCAGACCAGGGCCGGGTCTGCGCCCACACGCTCACGGAGGGAGGACGCCGTCGTCCAGAAAGCCGCAGGCAGTGTCGGGTCACCCAGCACCCAGCGTGAGGCGGACACGCCGAGGGCACCCAGGCCCCGGCCCCGGCGGGAAGGGCACACCCGAGGCTGCGGAGCCCAGGGCACACCTGGCCCCTGCCCAGAGAGCCACTGAGCGGCCCGGCCCCCGCGCCAGCAGGTGACAGGGCTGGCCTCCATCCGGAACATTCTCCCACACACACACCGCAAGCGCGCTGAAGCCTCCCGGCGGCGCAGGGCCTCCCTGAGCCCGGAGGCCCGGTCAGAGCTGGTCTCAGACTCACGGCCCCTCCAGCCTGTCCCAGGTACTTACCTTTTCAAAGGCGGCCAGGAGCACGTGGGCGTGGCCAGGCACCTCCACAACTGGAGAGAGGAGGGGGGTCAGCGGCCAGCTGCCGGGCTCGGCTTCGTCCTTCCCGCCCGCTCTCAACCGTGGGCTGCTGCTCTGGCCCGGCCTCGGCCCGCAGCCGCCTCTCGGCCACACCAGCCCCGCCTGCGGCTGCGGGGAGGTGGGCTCTGGGCCCGGCTCCTCTGGGGTGCGGTGGGGAGGGGCGGCGGGGCTCCCGGGCGGGGGAAGGGGCCCGTCCTGCACCCAGGGCCGCAGGGCTCCAGTGACTCCCCGTGCGCCCCGTGCCCTGTGCTGGGCTCACGCCTTGCCCCCCGAGGTGGAGGGAGCAGGGCGTCCGGAAGCCCCAGTCTGACCCCCACAGGGAGAAGAGAGGAAAAGCCCTCACCATCCCCTTCATCCACCACAGCCTGGATGACCACTGGGAAGACGCCACGGTCCAGGTCGAAGTTGAGCTGAGGAGAGAAGCAAGAGCAGTCGGACGGGAGGGGCCAGCACTGGGGCCGGCCGGCAGGGCAGGCTCTGGCTTCTCCCTTTCCCTGAGCGGTAGCGTGGGGCAAGGAGCTGCTGTTCAGCCACCTTCCGGGTGCAATTCAGTGCACGCAGGTCACCTGCAAGGCCGCACGGCCATCGCTCCAGAACCTTCTCACCACCACAGCGGGAGCTCTGCCCGTGAGCGCCCCACGCCTGTGTCCGACCCTGCAGCCCAGCGACCGCTGCCTGTTTGGGCCAGGCTGTGCCCCGCGGGCAGCTCCCTGAGGCCCCGTGCTCGGCACAAGCCCTGGGGTGGAGGTACCGGCCGCCCAGCATCTGTGACCTCGGGAGACCCCTCCTCTCAGGCCTCCCCACCCAAGCCGCTGCCCAGGGAGCAGCCTGCCGGGGCTACCCAGGGCCGACGGTGCCACCTCCCACGGGCTGAGAGCACGGCCCACACGGGGCCACCCTGGCCACTGCCCGCAGGCAGAACTGGTGCCCTGGTTCCCCACCGCGCCCGCCTCTGGGCGCAGGCGTGGTGACGGCCCCCGGCCCAGAGGAAGAAGGGAGCAAGCCTGGAGCCTGAGGGTGTGCCCCTGACACCCACCAGCGTCCCCTTCAAGGCCTTCAGCCCCCAGCAGCGTCACACTGCAGTCCCCAGGAAGAGTGACTGCCAGAACCTTCGATCTGTGGCAAGGCTTAGCAAAGCCTTCCCAGAACACGAGTGACAGAGGGGTGGGGAGGGCAGAGGGACACTCGGGAAGGAGGGGCCGCGTCTCCCTTGGGTGAGGACCTGAGCGTAGCGGGCACGGCACCCGCGGGTGCTTACGTGTCCCGGCGGGAAGGAAAGCGTCGACAGGAAGCCAGAGCTGAGCTCACCCGTGGGCAGCCAGAGAGGCCAGGGGCCCGGAGAGGCGCGTGGCCTCACTGGGCCCCCAGCCCCCGCCTCTGGCTCAGCACGTTCGCCCGAGGCCGAGGCCCAGGTCCCCAGCCTGGAGGCGCAGCCTCGAAGGCACGCGCCCCGCCACCCAGGGGGAGCACCAGCTGCCCCCCAGCCCCGGAAACACAGCCCCCCGCCTCTGAGGGGCCCACCCACCCCACTCGCCAGGTTGGACAGGACAGGGCACCTGCTGGGAGTCAGGGCAGGCAGGAGGGGACCTCCGAGGGGGCGCTCGGCTGTCGCCACCGGCCGCCCCCCTCGTCCCTCCTCCTCTCAGGGTGACACACAGAGGACTGCCACCTGTTGCCCGCACTGACCGTGCGCACGGGCCCAGAGCAAAGCCAGCCGGCCTCGACGTGGCAAGCCCTGGCCCTGCCCACCCGCCGGCCTCCCGCCCCACACAGTAGTGCCCAGGCTTTCCTCTCGGGAACACTGGAGAACCAGCTGAGGAGCAGACAGATGCAGAGGACACAGGTTTTCTAATTCTGTGAAATGTCCAGAAAAAGCAGCCCCACGGACCCAGAAACCGGGTCAGCGGCTGGGGGCCTTGGGAGTGCCGGGGTGCCACGTTCTAACGCTGGACCGTGGTCATCTGGAATGATTCACAAACTTAACTGGGAATCGCTGAGTTACGGACATCTGAAGGGCGAGTTTTATAATCCGTAACTTGCAATGGTGAAAAACAAGAAAGCGGGGCCCTCCCTGTGGTGCAACGTGGGAAAGCGCAGCTCTGAATCCAGCTGCAGCCGCCGCAGCCCGAGTCCATCCCCCGCCAGGGAGGGACCCAGGGCGCAGCAGACCCTCCCATCTCCCCGCTGCCCCCGCAGCAGTGGGTTTCAGTAGCTCGGCCTGTTCTGCTCCCCGCTCTGTCTCTGCTGATTCGCTCAACCACTGACCCCCCAACACCTCTGGCCGGTACCCCAGTTCTTGCATGCGTGAATAAACCTTTAAGCAAACAACAGGAGAGTAGCCCGGAGCGCCTGGCTCCGTGGCTGGCCGGCGGCGGCCCTCAGCCTGCGCAGGGGCCAGCAGGCTCCCCACACGTGTGGCAGGAGGTCCAGCTGCTTCCCAGCGTGGCTCCCCACCGCCCTGCGCCAAGAGGCCACGGGGCGCCCATGAGGCCACTGAGCCCAGCGCCTTCTTGTCACGCCAGGAGGCCGCTTCTGATCTCCGCTGGCACGCACTTCCTCGGCAGCTGCGAAAGGCGTCCGGACTCGGCCTCTCCGGGAGGGACGCTGCCCTCTGCGGCCCTGAGGGCCTGGCCCCCCTGGCA